TTTTTATGCTGAAACTTATGAATGTGTGTTCATAGTATACTAAAAACTAAAATGATTTTTTAATTTATAACTTTCAGAATTAAGGAAAACAAATGACATTAACTGTTGCTTATCCATAAAATCCAAATTACAGAAGGAGAATGGGGAGGTATGTAAATTATATTTTGTATTTATTTTAAAACATAAAATTTATTTTAAATTTGCTGTGTATTTGTAGTCAGCATCATCATTGTTATTTAGGTTAAGGTTGCAAATAGTGAAGGAAGCTCACACCCCGGGTCTCCGGGGCTTATTGTGCGGGAAGGGGAATAGCCTAAATGAACTTAGTTTACGGGGGGACAGAGGGGAATGGGACTTAGGAACCTCAGGGATTTAATTCCATGCAAATAGAAACCACTCCTTCTCCTGTATGAGTCTCAAAAAACTCTTTTTCTGGGGATATGGCACGATTGCCACTCCCACCAGCGACGAACTAGACGAGGACGCTCCCCTCCTTCAACAACCACACCTGGTTTCACGGGTGAAAGTGACTCTTCAGCTGAAGTAGCAGAGAGTGTGGGTACGGGCTTCCTGTTATTCTCGCCAGTGTTAACAGCAGCGAACAGCAAACTCACCCTTAGAAAATGTTACCTGAAGCTGTGAATACTGGGGCATTACACAGACAATCTGAGTGCAATGGAGCCATCGGTTCTTGGCTTTTAAAACTATGCACTCAACACAACGCTTTTAAAGTTGTAGGGTTCGTCCTGTTCGTCCCTATCCACCCTGCACACCACTGCGTTAGCAATACGGTGGCTAACACCAAAAGCTGGAGCATTTCATCAAACCCAGGTGCTCGTTCCCAGGTTTTTGTTTTCCTAAAGAGTTTGAAATTTGGCCTGGAGACTCAGGGATGATTTTAAGACATTGGGTTAATAGACTCTTATGTCTGAAGGAAGCCACCTTCCTTCTTATTTTAACAAAGCTGGGAACAGGGATAGTAACTGTTGGTAACCATGAGTTCATTCAGATGAATTTCCACTGTTTGTACTTTAGACACATTACAGATGTGGGTTAGTTAATTAGAAACTCAACCTTCAAGTTCAAGCAAATTTAATTAAATATCCTTTTGAATCTGAAATTGAAAGCAGTTTCTGTGTTCTGAAAGGTCTTTTTAATAATGTGATTCATATTTATTTTCATAATTTGATTTTTTAATTATTGGATTCAGAGTGTCTTTTCTTTCATACCATTGTGTAGAGTTGGCAGTGGGAGTGAGGACTGCCTGCAATAATAATGCTGAGAACCTTTTTAATAAAAATATTGAGTCAGTGCAAATGAAAGCAATACAAAATAATACCGAATGCAAGCTGTAATTGAAAAATAAAACTTAAAAAATTGAATCAGCATGAGCTTGTCAGCTGTTTTATCAGAACAAATTCAGAGTTGTAATTGCTTATATATAGTTTCTTATATAGACGCAACACATTAAATTGTACACATGAGGATAAGCAAAGTAGAACTTTAGAAGAATATGTGCGTAGAGCTTAGTGAACTCCCCACACCATCTCCTCCTGTCTGTTGTGTTCTTGGCTCATACGCACCAAGAATGTTCTCCCGTAAAATCCGGGGGACGTGCAGAGACCCACCTGCTATGGCCACTTGCTACTTTCTTTTCAGGAGGCAAGCTCGTCTGACCACTGAAATAAATTGTCTCCTTGCTCTATTCTTTTAAGGAGTCGAGACAGAATAGTGCAGTGGAAGAAGACTCGGAAGGGGATAACGACTCTGAGGAGTTCTATTATGGAGGACAGGTAGGCGCCCGGGGTCCCCGGCACCCGCTCTCACGTAGCGATTCCGCCCGTGTCCCGTGGACGTCTGTGTGGACGTCTGTGCCTGCGCTCCGCGAGGCCCGCGTGGCCTTCAGGGCCTGTGGCTGACGAGGGCATCCGTACAGCTCGTCGCATTCTCCTGTCCGACACTTTTCAGAAGCTAAGGTGGCTCTTGCCGTTCTTTGACGGTCATCGTTCATTGACCTTGACACTGTCTTACTTCTCGATCATGACTTTACACACAGCACTTCTTTATGCTTTTGACTTAGTTCTTAAGCACACGGTGCTCGGTCCATATTTTGAGACGATGACAGCTCTAACAAAGCATGGGTTGGCAGTTTTAAGTAGAAGAGGATTAGCCTTTGTAAAAATCGATGGCCCTAAGGGTTGAGCACCCCAGTATTTGCATCCCTTGTCTTCCTTCTATTCTTTTAAGGAGTCGAGACAGAATAGTGCAGTGGAAGAAGACTCGGAAGGGGATAACGACTCTGAGGAGTTCTATTATGGAGGACAGGTAGGCGCCCGGGGTCCCCGGCACCCGCTCTCCACGTAGCGATTCCGCCCGTGTCCTGTGGATGTCTGTGCCTGCGCTCCGCGAGGCCCGCGTGGCCTTCAGGGCCTGTGGCTGACGAGGGCATCCGTACAGCTCGTCGCATTCTCCTGTCCGACACTTTTCAGAAGCTAAGGTGGCTCTTGCCGTTCTTTGACGGTCATCGTTCATTGACCTTGACACTGTCTTACTTCTCGATCGTGACTTTACACACAGCACTTCTTTATGCTTTTGACTTAGTTCTTAAGCACACGGTGCTCGGTCCATATTTTGAGACGATGACAGCTCTAACAAAGCATGGGTTGGCAGTTTTAAGTAGAAGAGGATTAGCCTTTGTAAAAATCGATGGCCCTAAGGGTTGAGCACCCCAGTATTTGCATCCCTTGTCTTCCTTTCTCTCTAACACGGATGTCCAGTGCTTGTTGGAAACTCGTTAGGAAGAAAGGTCATAACTTACGGACATGGAAATGGCACGGCCTCGTAGGCGCATAGATAAAAGCCTTCGTTCTGTTGTTCCAGGAGAATGTCAGAATTTTCACGGGGCGATCAGGGTTAGGACATGGCTGTATAAGGTGGCTCGTTCTGTTTCTGTCAACTTCTCGATCACTAGGCTTCGGAACTTGGATAGAATAGTGAGACAATAATGTGTTAAAAAGGCACTTTAAAGCCAATGTTGTTAGTACACGAAGGAATGCAGGTCAGCTTCTTCATGCAGAAGGAACAATTAATTTGTCCATGAGGCACCTGCCAGGCAATGGAGATAGGACGCAGGTGAGGCAGCGGCTGCTCCCAGGCTTGCCTTCCCAGCAGAGCTGTTCTGTCGCACTGATGCTGGGCAAGACCATTCCTCCCGGGTCCACATCTGTTACACAGCTCCATGCCCGGGGAAGTGCACGCCTTCTTCAGTCTAGAAATTCCGTCTAGAAGCTTTTCAGATCACCTTCCAGACACTTGCTTCAGCCCTTTTAACATTTGCACTTTCTTCAGATCAGAGTAGGCTAATTTGACTTTTGAGCGCAGTAAATTACCCTAGACCCGTGGTCGGCAAACTGTGGCTTGCGAGCCACATGTGGCTCTTTGGCCCCTTGAGTGTGGCTTTTCCTAAGCCTTAGGAATACCCTAATTAAGTTAATAACAATGTACCTACCTATATAGTG